TCTCTTATGCATGTATGGGCATGTGTGAGATTGTCTGTGTGTGAGTGGTGATAAAATTCGTCCGACAACCAAGTTCATAACATGTGTGTGCCATTCAGCATCAGGAATCAACTTCAGGTCTGCTTAGCAACAGTTGAGGAGATCCGCACTGGCAGTTTTGCCAGCCCAATGGGCAGCCTGGGAAATCTGGACAGCACAGCAGGGCAGAGTGCTGAGGAATAGAGGAAGGCCCCTCCTAAACGCAATGGATGGGTCACAATAGTGGCCACAGACATACAAAAAGAACAAGTAAAAATGAGAACAGGAGGTCTGCTCACTCTTTTTCATTTGCCTTTTTTTCTTTTTGTTTGTGTTCTTGCAACAGCGGAATGGCAGGCTTCGCACCCTGTGTGCACTTGTATTTGCACAATCCCTCTCCCTGTGCTCGACTTCAACCAGCCTCCCTGTCAAGACTGGTCACAAGTTCTCGCAACCCTGTAACCAGTATGACATCAGGGGCAATTACTCCTATCAGTATTAACTGAAGAAGCAGAAAAGGGTTGTTGATAACTAACCAATTCATAGCTGCATGAGTTAGCCTTCAGGTCCCATACTCTGATATTCCCATCTCGGTCACCAGATATAAGTTCATTCTGCACAACAGAAGAACACAGCCCACACACATTGATATGGTAACCTAGGCGAAGTCAACAACATATCATCAGTATGCCGTGATGGCTACAATGATAACGTGATTTCAACTCACCAACAGCCCTTAGTTCGATAGCGAAAAAGATATTTCATTACGATCCACAACACGCCACAGATAGACGAAGGCAAAACTCAACACTCAGTAGTGAATACCCAACCTATACTCTCTGATCAGTGCACAACCTCCTCTCCCAATGAACGCACAAGACCTAAACAATGGAATCCTCAACTGAATCATCCCACATTCCGATCCAACACAAGTTCACACCATGTCTCTCTCTCTCTCTCTCTCTCTCTCTCTCTCTCTCTCTCTTAAAAAAAAAAAAAGGTATTCCACGTGCCCATCCACCCGATCCTTACAATGTATTCTCTCTGTCGTCAAGGACAGAGTCATCCTTCAGCCCTTTTTTATTCCTTTTCCTTTTTCGTTCTTTGTTCCTCTTCTCTTCATCCCTCTTCCTTGTGTTTATCACCTCCCACTTCTCTGCCTCTTTCTCACAGCGTACAAATGGGCCATTATGGCACACAGGGATGCAGGCAGCTCACGCTCGCCTTCATCAACGTGGCGAGGCTTGTAGGTGAGAGGCACGGTGAAGGGGGAGTTAAAGAAGAATGAGATAAATGAATAGATTCAGTGTGCACCTCATCTTTGTTTTGTTTTAGTTTTTTATATCTTCACCGTTTGTTTTGCAAAGTGCCTCTCACGTACAAGGCTCGCCACGTTATGTGCCAGTATATATCGTCAAACAGAACTGCAGGGTAACAGTATATATATACTGTTTGTGAAAGGGTTTCACCCAGTTCACACAATATTGCAGACACCAAGACTCGATCCCCATACCTTCCCCAGCCCACTGTACAGTCGCCCGTTGACCCTGTGTGTTTTGAACCCACAACCTGTCCCTAAAACCATGTATAAACGTTTGTGTACGTAGCTTGGGTCGTGTGGACTCGAACCATAGACTGTCTATTACCAGTCTTAGGGTCAGTCTGTAGGTACGTCTCTCGAAAGGTCAGTCAGCCGTAGTCTAGACAGTTCCAAAAGACTCAACTTGACCTTTCGAAGTGGCACGAGGCAGTCCATTCATTTCAGAAAGGTCAAGTGTCCCAAGTCAAACACCGAAAGGGCAAATGAAGGGGCAGTCCCAGTTGAGTACGTTTTTGAGGCAAGTACCAGAGTGGGACTGCACATCTTGAGAGCCTGGGACATCGGCAGGCCCAGACCACCAAACAAAACAGTAAATAAAGAGGCACCGATCAGTCAGTCAATTATTATCTGGGAAGTACGTGGAAGCGCTGCCCGAGTGTCTTGTGTGTTGAGTTCACCGGTGGTCAGCAAGAAGCCCAAAGGTGAAGAGGGCGAGCAGCCGCTTGTGAGGAAGAAGACAACGGCGGCCATAGCCGCCAGCGGGACATAGTTAATAGCTAGTAGTGTGTTTGACCGTGGACAATCAGGGTAGATCCTAGTGTGTCTGGACATGTCTGCGAGTGAAGTGTGGGTGTGTCTGATGGTGGACAGTGTGTGAAGGAGGAGGTTCAGACTGGCGCTCAGACGCCATAGCTGCAAGATGTGACAAGTTTACTTAAGCTGAGTTCCTGGCCAAAGGCCATATCTCTGAGTTTTCTGTGTCGGAGCACTGCACCATCTCACTCCTGTTGCTGATTCTACTTCGAGAAAGTTGTTTCGCCGTCGGCACCTGTATGTATGGATGTTGTAAATGAAGTCGAAGATAAGTCTGAATCCCTTGGTACCAGAGTTGGTTCCCGTTGTCTGCGCAAGCATTGTGGCGGTCGAAGAAGAGAGAGAAGCCGACTAACGCGAAGAAGGAGATGATGACGATGATGAGAGAGGGACGCACATGAGCAAGGAAGAAGACCTCCATAGCTGCCAGCTTGGAGAAGAAGAAGAAACAGACAACAGAGAAAGAGACGTGACACAGACGAGGTGGTGGCAGCCATAGCCGACAGAGAAGGAGCCGGCCATAGCCAAGCTTAAGGACGAGGAAGAAAAAGACAAATCTGCTGAAGTTGACAAAGGGAGAGGAAGCCGCCATAGCAGGGTGGTATGAAGGTTGACCAGCGAGCATTGACCAACAAGCACTGACCGGGGAGGGTTGACCAGCGAGCGTTGACCGACAAGCGTTGGCCGGCAAACGTTGACTGGCTAAGGTTGACCAGTGAGCTTTGACTGGCACAAATGACTGGGTTGACCATTGACCAAGCTTGCAGTGCGGAGCGAGGTGCAGTTCAACCTCTTCAAGCCCTGACCCGTGTCCTTTTATGCTGTGTGGATGTTGCACACTCACCTTGGTACCTGCTGCAGTCAAGTCTATCTTGTAGAGTCTGTCATCTCTTTCTGCATTGAGTCACTCCTGTCCAGGTTGTTGTATGTTCCATGCATGCGGTCTGATAGAGGCTGAGGGGCCGATATCTGCACGGGACTTACTGGGGTGAGGTGTATCTGACACTAGACAACCTGGGAAAATACCCTAAGGACCGGTACAGACCGGCAAGTTGGTCTGGGCGGTACACTATACCAGAACTCCGAGTTGCAGATCGCATATCCCGTCTGTCTAAGTCTTGAGAGAACTCTGGCTGCGATCGTCGTCCTGGCTGCGGCATTAAATAACTACTGAGGAGTTATGGGGGATCTCCTTAAATGCCTCCTGATCAGCCAGTAGTTCCGTAGTGACAGATTAGTAGTAGACTAGTATCCAGTAGTTGACAGAGGACCAACTGGAAGTCAAAGCCAGGAAAGATTGGACTGTGGGTGCACAGGCATCCGACAGTTGTGGAGAGATTGGACAGCTGCAAAGACTTGCTGATTTCCACTGCCGAGATTGACTGCGGGGCTGTACACTAACCGGTAGGGTTAGATTCGTAATTTTGTTTGGCTGAGGGCTAACCGAGAGACCTGCCTGTAAGGAGGACATATCTGCAAATTTGGGAAAATATAGGCCCAGCACTAACCCGAATTCCTACAGCTACCCTAACAGGCCCAGGCTACCCCTAGGACAGACAGGCCCTAAGCGGCCTATGCTGCTAGACGGTCCTATAGCCTATAGCCGGGTCCGGTAGAGGCCGAGAGGCCGAAACAGCAACGGTACCGGTCAGTCAGTCAGTCCGGTCTAGGTCTAGGTAGTCTATAGATAGGTTAGGCCCATCGGTTCAGGACTTTTGGCAGTTCATTTCTCGCGAAGCAGCGTTGGAGAAGCCAAGCAAGTTGGTGGCGGTGATGGTCTGCAGGCGGCATCCTGAGACTCACCGTTGACAGCAGTCATAGCCGGCCCAGTCTGAGTATGCCATAGCTGGGGCATCCTCAACGCATCTACCCCTGGGGGTATTTGCGTATGGTCGGGCTACATCGAGGCTCTACAATTTGTGTTCGTGGGTGGTGGCAGCCATAGCTGCCTGTTCCTTCGTCAGAGTTGTCCATCGGCACTGAGGACTTCATCGCAGGACCTGTTCTTCATCAGGGTGGTTGGCGCTGGCCTCTAGGAGGCCAATCTGCCGTGGCGCTACTAACTGGGTGTAGGATAGAGGGTGGGGTGTGAGTTCTGAGAGTGGCGAGATACTGGAACAAGCTCTGTTACGATAATTGTTTGAGTGGCTCATCATCAGTGTGAATTCCAATTGTGATCTTCGCAGGTTCTTTCTTGTGATTGGTTGTTGGGAGTTGTGTCAGAGAGTGAGAAACAYTGTGTGTTCTCTCCCCATCTGGGCATGATTGTCTTCCGCTGCTTATTTTCACCTGTGTGCAGTTTGGACTCTGTCTCCTCTCTCCCCTTCTCTTATGCATGTATGGGCATGTGTGAGNATTGTCTTCCGCTGCTTATTTTCACCTGTGTGCAGTTTGGACTCTGTCTCCTCTCTCCCCTTCTCTTATGCATGTATGGGCATGTGTGAGATTGTTTGTGTGTGAGTGGCGATAAAATTCGTCAGACAACCAAGTTCATAACAGTTGGTATCAGAGCGGGATTGGATTTGGAACACTGAGGGTTGAGCGCACTGAGGCATCTTCTTCATCTGGCAACATGCTGGCGAGAGTTTCATGGCGATTCATTTTCCCCGCTATTGAGTCAGCAGGGAAGAAGACTATCAGCAGTGGATTCAAGTGTTCAGTGGTAGCATTGAGCAAGCGCACTGAGCCTGTCAGGGCGCTTGTCAGGAAGTGGCAAGTACAGGGCTAATTCACCATAGCCAACCCTGAGGGTAATACTGCGAATTACCCCAGAGTGGCGAATTACCCCTGAGGACATCAGGGAACCCTGAGCGGCATCATCCCTAGGTAGCGCTGATAGAGATTGACAGTCTGTATCAATCTCCTGAAGAAATAACCCCATCTGGGGCTATTTTTAGCATCAGTGGCTACCAGGCACTGTGGCGAGATATTTTGGTGTTGGCATACTGGGCGCCACAGGACCAGATACAGGGTATCTGAGTTGAGGGAGTGCAGCGCTATAGGATCCTGAGGAGGATCAACAAGTTGGGAGCAGTTCTGTGCGTGGGATTATCAGGAGGAATATCTGGAGGAAATTGGCGAGATAAGGGTATCATCTGCCATATCCAAATCTTCATCATCACCTGCAAGATTCTCTGAAAGTGAGTCTGTTCCATGCACCTACCTATATTGCGATCCAAATAGTATTAGTTTAGTTAATTATAATGGTCTATCTGTTTGTCAGTGATTGAAAGTGAAAATCGCAGACTGCATGACAGCCATAACCATCTCTCCCCTACCTCTCTCTGCTAATTTCTCACCCTCTGTTGACTCTTTCTGATCCAAAATTGTTATGTGACTGCCTTACTGCATTGCGATTATTCTGGGATGCTCAAACTGTAAATTCTGTACTGGAAAAGTAGTGATACAGTGAATTGGAGTTTTGCGCTGAGTCTATTTTTAGCCTGTGCTACCTAGGGTCAGTCATAACTTCAATTCTGT